CATGCAGGATGGTGTTCCTCAGGGACCAGGGTTGGGAACCAGTGCCGCAGTGGATTGTAGGCAGGCAGGTTGAAGGCAGACTGGCGGGCAGGTGAGCTGCAGAGACGGGTCTTGGGCAGGAGGCAAGTGGCACCAGGACCTCCAGGGTTAAGCTCAAGTCCGAGGCACGGAGGAAAACAGGTCAGGTAACGGGAACGGTCGGTCCCAGCAGAGACGAGAACATCTCAACAGTCCTTTATAGACCTGGAGCTCATCACTGGAACGGGCCGCAGCTGCTGCTCAGGAGGAAACACTGGGATCCCACACCTGTATTAGTACATCATCATTTTTAAGTTCTTTTCTGTAAACAAGACGAGCAGAAGATGTGAGCAGACGTTCAAAACTTCAGCTCATGTTTACGTGAAGAGCTGTAGGATTTCACAGCTAACACACAGTAAGGTCAAAGGTCATTGGTCGTCCCTCCGGTCATCTTCGCACTCGATCATACTCACTGCTGATGCTCACAGGAAGCCCCGACGCTGCTGTCGCTCCCTGCAGGTCAAAGGTCACTCATGTGTCTGCAGGGAGCAGCGTGGTCACATGATCGTCGTGACTCAACCAGCCTTTAAATAACCTCTGCTCCTGGAGCTTTAGCTGTCTTCGGCTCATATTTTAATGTCGTACAAAACAAAAGCCGGCAGAAGGAACTACCAGCACGCTGCCGAAATTATTCCAACTATCTGGTGTGTGGATAATTACTCAGAAATGATTTACTGTCATGGAGGAGGGTGTGGGAGTGCATTCAAAGCCGCCTCAATGTGAAGCAATAAAACACAATAAGAGGAGGAGCAGCAGGAATGTAACACGCCTGAGGCGCCTGAGCTGCAGCTCGCAACGCAAACACACACACTTCATGAGAGAGCCGCACATTTCCAGGCCGAACTTCCTTCTTTTAGCTTTAATTAAACACGAGTCTGCCCTGACACGCCTCCTGCGGCCATCACCACAACACCGAGTCCTTCTGGGTAAAATATGACAAGAGTGGCCGCATCTTCACATTTAACTAAACGCTATCTGCTGTAAAACCAACAGAAAGTTTGCTGCTCCTCGTCTCCAAACGTTGAAGTGCTCTCGATACGAAACTGACAAAGCTAAACTGAATCAGCTCCATAAAGTCAGTTGGAAACAGCCGAAACGTAGCTGCTTCACATTCGTGTTCCACCCGCAGGCATTTAACGTTTTGAAGAGTTTTAAAAACTTGTTGCCACGCTGCAGTCGTTCAGGAAGAGAAGCCACAAAGACGTTCAGAGATAAATTAATTATAAATACGTGTGCTCTCCTCCTTTTCTTCACTGCAAGACTTACTTTTCGGCTTGGAGATAAACCGGCTGAAGGTTGCCGATCGCACGCACACTTTCTCATCAGCTGCCCCTGAAGCCGGGAGTCACCATGGCTGCATCCTGGCCTGCCTGTCCTCTCCTTGTGGTGCGTCCTGGTCTGATCAGCCTGACACCACCCAGAAAGATGAGAGACCTCTGACCTGCAGCGCCGACCTGGTGAGGAGCCAACCTGCTACATCAGGGTCTGCAACCTGCGGCTCTGGAGCCACATGCGGCTCTTTGGTTCCTCCGCAGCGGCTCTTCCAAGCTTTGACCAAAACTAACATAAAACAGGGGCAGCATGATGGATTAGTGGTTAGCACTGTTGCCTCACAGCAAGAAGGTCCTGGGTTCAATCCCCAGTTGGACCTGGGGTCTTTCTGTGTGGAGTTTGCATGTTCTTCTCATGCTTGCGTGGGTTTTCTCCGGGTACTCCTGTTTCCCCCCACAGACGAAAAACATGCATGTTAGTCTGCCTTCAGGCCCAGACCTCCCCTGCAAAAGAGAACTGTGACCTCGATGGGATTTACCTGGTTAAATAAAGGTTAATAAATAAATAAATAAATAAATAAATAAACAAAACTGAATTTTATTGGTTGTTATTCAAACAACAAAAAATAAGTTTTAGCAGTTTTCCTGTAATTTCTTTTGCAAATACGTGAACACTGGAACATGTATAAGGAGTAAAACACGCTCACTTTAACTTTATGCTTTGTTTCTATACTTGATTAATTTTTCCACAATAACATAAAAAACATAGGTCTGCATAGTTCATAGCTTTTATTAATTAAAAAACTACCTCCCCCTCTTTGCAAGAATCTGTTCTTTTCATTTGTCTTAAATTGTAAAACTATAAATGAGATATTTTTTAGCTTTATAATGTCACCCCTAACGGCCACACAAGTCTCCTCCATCAAACCTCAAGTGGCCCACAGGCCTCCAGTTGATGAGCCCAGTTGCAGCTCTGATCACTTTTAATTTAGTGAACGAACGAGCAAAATGTCTCTTTTGATCGTAAAGGTTGTAGACCCCTGTTACTGGTTCTGGTTAAACATTGTAGCCGTTGCAACGTTAAAAACATCATTTCTTTACAAATAAATGACGATTCAAACGGTGCAGTTCCAAAGTAAAGTGCGTCTCACATGCTTTTATCTAAATCCTTGTGCATTTCAAACGAAATAAACTCGTTCCCAAAACTTTTTGTTTATGTTTCAGTTAAAAGAGAATTAATCTCTATTGCTTATGATTGTTACATCAAGTCCAAGTAATTACTTAACCACTACTTCTCCACACTAGTTATTATTATTATGTTAACTTCTCATTTTATTGCTGTTATTGAACTTTATTTTGACACGTACTGTGATCGATTACATAATTCTGATCATAATCAGGAGCAACGTCTTGGCAGCCGTGCTCTGGCTCGTGTTGAAGGTTTGGACAGTTTTTTAAGAGTTGTGATCATTAGAGGGGAATAAAAAAACGAACCAGTGATTGGTCAGAAAACTGACCCGGTGCTCCGGTTTTAACGAGTGCTCATAAAGAGAAGAGGAGGGAGAGAACTCCTCCTCCTCCTCCTCCCTCACAACTACCACATTACATGTTTGAACTCATTCAGTCATTTAATATTTACATGAATAATTCTCTGTATTTGCTGTGACGGTCCCGTTGACTCGGTTCTGTTTACTGGAACATAATATTATTATTAATGAAGCCACACAGAGCAGGCCAGGGACCAGAACCAGGTCTGGACCGGAGCAGGTTACTTCACCCACAAAACAGTTTAATTCAGTTCAGTTTATTCACACACCATCAGTCAAACATCACTTCAGGACACAAAAAAAACATTTACATACATTATAAGCCTATAGCAGTGAAGCTAAGGCACATCTCTGGAAACCCAGTCCAACCCTGACTATAGGATTTATCAAACTGGAAAGTCTTCAGCCGAGTCTTAAAGTAGACGAGGTGTCAGCCGCACGGACAGAAACTGCACGAGAGGAGCCTGACAAGTGAAAGCTCCGCCTCCCATTCTGCTTTTAGAAACTCTAGGAACCACAAGTAAACCTGCAGTCTGAGAGTGAATTGCTCTGTTAGGAAAGTATGGAACAATAATATCTTTTATTCCATCCATCCATCCATCCATCCATCCATCCATTCATCCATCCATCCATCCATCCATCCATCCATCCATCCATCCATCCATCCATCCATCATGCATGTTTTTGGACTGTGGGAGGAAACCAGAGCACCCAGAGAAAACCCACGCAAACACAAGGAGAATATACAAACTCCACACAGGAAGACCACAGGTCCAAACTGGGGAGTGAACCCAGGACCTTCTTGCTGTGAAGCAACAGTGCTAACCACTGAGCCATCGTGCGGCCCTCTTTAATATAAGATGGAGCTTGGCTGTTGTGAGCGAAGAAAGATTTTAAATTCTCAGGGAGCCGAAGGAGAGAAGCTAAACCTGAGAAATCTGCTCTCTTCTAACTCTCATCAGAGCTCTAGCTGCAGAACTTTGGATCAGCTGAAGACTTTTCCAGAGTTTTAGGACACCCAACAAGTTAATGACATTCGTGCCAAGAAAAAGACTAATCTTGTTTATTCATTTCAGGTTTTCTTGACAGCAGGAAACCATGACAATCCGGCCTCAACTCTGAATTTACATCACCTCCTTCAGCTGTCGCTGAGTGACGATAATCCCTCAGTGGCTCTAATCTAACAAAGTTCTTCTTTCAGCTCCGTCTGCACCTCAAGATGAGCTCATTTCTCTATAAATCACACCTTAACTCAGAACCTGAGCGGTTATCATTACCAAGGCGAGGGACGATGAAGAGAGCAACAGTTTGAGGCCGAGTGCCCAGGAGGCACGTTGACGGGGACAGCTTTTTATCGGTTTGTGGTGGAGTGTCAGTTTACGGAGTGGAGCTCGGGGTAACTGGGACACCTGACAAGTGTTTCCAGGGGGAGAAGCAAGGACGGGCAGGTGAGGTAGATTGGTGTGATATCAGAGGAAAGGCTCGGGGGCTGGAAGTAGGTTTGAAAGAAGCAGCGAAGACACTCAATGGATCTTTCTTCTTCAAAGACGATTCCTTCTCTCGCCGACAGAAGCACAGCCGAGAGAGAGAGAGAGAGCACGTCTTTCAGTACCATCCACTTAACTCCCCTCCCTCCCCCCCTTGTGAAACAAGCTCACAGATGTCATGTAAATATTCAGAAGAATGTGTGTTTGTCAGGAGCCTCGGGGACACGGCTCTTCATCACGGAGGCTTGTTCTCACTGGTTTCTGTTGTTCAGGTAGGATCCCAGGCTGGGTGTGATGGTCTCAAAGCACAGA